CACAACATGCGATTTTGCATTTGCTTATACGCAAAAACGCCTAAAAATGCAGGATGTCGGGTGCGATGGGGAGACTGGGAAAGAAGGATGGCGAAGTCCATAAAATACATTCGCTTTTGAGATTGTGATAAAATTGAGCATTTGTATTGTCTATCTGAAGTAGACTTTATACGCAAAAGAATGAAGAGCACACGTGAATTTAGAAAATCTTTGCAAAGTTTCAGCCTCGCAGCTTGTCCGGTAGGAGAAATTGCCGTTTGTCTACAAACATCACTGATGCACTTTGAAGCGTGTCAAACCGAACGTGGGGTTTACCTCTCCAAAATGTTTCACTATTTTGCGTTTCTTCCCTATGTTTCCGTCTTTCCTCTCCATTGTTTTATTTTTGGTGACGCTGCGAACAGGATGAAAATGATAAAATATTGCGTTATCACTGGTCGAAGGCCAAACGGTGTAACAGTGCCGCGAGGAATGCGGATTCGATCGGCTGTAGCGGGGTCTGGGGCAGACAGTGTCCCAAAGACTTCTTTTTGGATCAGAGGCTGAGCACTGGTATTCTCGATGTATTTGCTCCGAACACAACTTTTCCAGTGGAAAAATATTCATTACTTTGTTTCTAATCAGTGTCTCCAGCTTTCAACCGTACTATGTTTCAACGTTGATTACTGACGGCTATTTGTATTTGACGATAGGGATAACTTATTTTTGAAAAGTTTTTGCTTTGCGCGAAAACACTTCCTCTCCTTCTCTCTCTCTCTTTTTCTTTCAAAAATCCGTCTTGCAAATTAGTTACGTGTCCTAAAACGTGGCTGGTAGGAGCTGTACTGACGATTCCCATTCCTACCCACATGAATACTCCGGTCTGTGTTTGCAGCTAAGGGGTGAAATACACACACTTGCCACGGAGGAAAATGTCCTTCGGCACATGACTCTTAAAACCAATTCTTTCATTCTGCTATTTCACCACAACTTGAGTTTTTGGGGTTTATTGTAGCAAGAAGTACGTACAATCAGAAGAATACCGTGTCCTGGTCATTGTCCACACATTATGGAAAAATTATCAGGAAAACGAAAATATGCTACAAAAATTGCATTCATAAAATATATCGTAGGAACAAATGCACATGTCAAGAAGGAACTGCGCCATGGTTATTTTCCACGCATTCGTGTTGCTCTCGCGCTATCGTAATGAGTTTCTCGTCTATTTCGGCCCACCGTTTGCTCAAATTCTGGTCGCCACAATATGTTGTTGGTGTTGGCACTGCAATTTGCAGAATTAAAATACATCACGAATTTTTTCCTTAAAATTTTAAAAATTATAAGCCAGGCATACGCCTGACAGCAACTCCAAAAGTGACCTAGTGTTTTTATGTTCAGACCAAGCCTGCCGCACAGAAGCTTGTTCAGCTAATTTGAGAAAAAAAGCATAAAATGGCCTGGTCATTTGGTACAGTTAGCTTGGTCACTAATTGTCGTGAAACGTCGCGCACCCTGACAATAACCCTTTTTTTTTACCCACCCAAGATGTCATTACAACGTGATTAGATAAAGCAGTTGCCTGGACAGAAGCGAGTTGGAATATCACCAATTTCATAAAATTCATGAAATGGCGCATAATTGATGAATATCGCCTGCTGTTCGCTCTTCATATACATGTATTCACCTTGGTGTAAACGTTTATGAAAAGTTTTCGAGATAGTTCAGTAAAAAAAACATGAAAAGCAAAATGATTTTCTAAGACTTGTCCTTTTTTCGGATGCAAGAACAATTAATTGGTTCATTGTTAGTCGAGACACTGCACAATTTCCATTCAAAGCGATCATTTTGTGAAAACTTTTTGTTCAAGCAATTCTCTTTCTTTAGCTTTATTTCTAATAAAATTTTCCTCCATTCAGACAATTTTTTCCTCCACAACACTGGCGTTTTTACGTCTAAATCTGGTCACTTTTTCCGCAAAAACTTCGATAAAAACAGCAGTTTAGCTCCTTCTGACTGAAAAAGAATGTTTTTGCTTTATCAATCTTTTTAAGCCAGGTGCAAGTTATTTGGCCAGAACTGGCAAAATCTCACTCTTGGGATGTAGGGCTCAAGTCGAGGACACTTCACTTCAAGCGAATCTTACT